CAGGCCAGAAATAAAATGGTACAAGTCAGGAGCAGCAGTGAGGAGGCTGGAGCTATTATAAAGCCATTATGGAGCTATCACACTGCTATTAGCTCTTGCTGCTGCTGCTCCCTGAAAAGAAGGGTCACAGGAGCGATGCTGCTGCCCCAGGGCATTGCTGCTGCCTCTGTGCCCTGCTCTGGGGCTTGGCCCCAAAGGGAGTGCCTTCACCCAAGGCATCTCAAGGCTGATTTCTTCATGGGTAAGTGAAATGTGTGGTATAGGACCCACACATGTGTTTCTTTAACGGTTTGAGGTGGTGGCTCTGGTGCAAGCAGGGATGAGGGGACCAGCCATGGTCAGGCATGACCTGGGGTAACTCCCATTATGAGACAGGAAAAGAAAAACCCAATTCTTCTCTCTGAGGAGGAGAATAATTTCCAGCATCACGAGAAAACAAAGCAGACCAAGAGGGATTATTTTCCCCAAACAAGATGCCGTTTGAAAACACCCACTTGGAGTCACACATAATTTTTTTCCTCCCTGCTTGTTGCAACTTTGCCAAACCCAAAAATTTCAATACTGAGTTGGCCTCTAAATTCATGAGACCAGCTTAAAATTCCTGAGATTGCTGTTTTATTTTGAAAAATCTCGTTCTTTTCATTTACTGCCTACTCCTGGAGCCCTAAAAGATGCCAATTTTTTATGTGTCTCTGACCACAGCAGCTAGAAACTTCCTTTAGCTCTCCCCTCTACTCCCTGTTTTCCCAATTCTCCATTGATTGAATGAGTTCTGGAGCCGGTCCTCAAAGCAAACACGAAGCGTCAGGAAATTTGCAGTTGATGGAAGGAGTTGTCAAGAGCTGTTGTCAGCACAGTGTACAAGATGTGCGTGAACCATCCCCAGCAACTGTTCCTTCCCAAGCCAGCTCTTCTGACAAGACAGAAAGCACACGGAGCCGCCTTTCCCGGCACAGATATCCGCCAAAGAAGGCGAAACGAGAGCTTTCCCTGCTGTCGCTTTGAGCGGCGTTGGGTTTGAGCTGGAGAAACACCCCCGCACATACACACACCTGCTCCCACACACTCTGGCTCAGCCCCAACCCTCCCCGTGCCACATTTCACGTTCAAGGCTGAGTGGGTTTTGCTGTTGAAACAGGTCTCGGTGCCTGGGATCGGGTTGGGAAGGCCGGAGCTCGTCGGGGACCCACGGACCGGCTGG